GCATAGCACGAAAGTTCATTTTCCCAATTCACTAATCAAGCTTTCAAAAGCTTAATTACTATGTTGCAACTTAACCTTTTCCAATGCTAAATTACAAGCATTCCTTCGTGAATGCTAAGTAATTAGCACCAAGATTAGTGCTAATTTTAATTAGCCACTAAACAATAGGTTTAAGTTGTCGACTTCTCTCAAATAGGTTCACTTTGAGAATCAATTTCTCATTCACCTATTACCCATTTTGAGCGTATATTATATCAAATTCTTCGTCTCACTACGAGGAACCCGAATCCACTTTGACCCGACCCAAATCGGAAGTGGATCCACATATATTTGTACCACAAAATAATCACTCAAACTGTCATTTTTAGCTAAAAATTTCAACAATTATATTATTTCTTGAGGATTTCTGTCTGAGCTGCACAGTCAGTACCTGGTACAGCTGAAGCTTCGGTTAAAGGTCGTCACGGCATGCACGTGTAATCCTGAGTAGATGTTAGGAAGGTGTTGTAGTGGTAAAGGCTTAGGGCCATTTGTACTTACCTCTTGTAATACTCCTTGGTGAACATCTATAGTGAATTGGGTCCGAACTGCGTGATCAATCTCTGAGTACTTGTTTTATTTTTATGCATTTATATTTCGTTATTTATGTTCATTAAATAACCTAATTAATTGATAATGTAATATCTCTTCTAAAACAAGTAGAACATTAAAGGTATAAATGAATTCAAGATTCAAGGTGCAATTTCAAGATCTTTCACGTCCAAACTCACATATGGAACTACAGGCATAACAGTATGCATTGGAGCAAAAATATACACGGTAAGGGACACATAATTGTTTAAATTTAAATTTAATGCATGATCTTTAACACAAATCATAACCAATCACAATAATAAACTATTATTAGTAATTAGTGATTCATATATATATATATATATATATATATATATATATATATAAATTAACACCTACGATCTAAAAACTGGAAGTCACAACAATGTGCTCTGGAACGCTAAACAATATATACTCTAAGACAAAATAACATGCACTTGGAAGGCACAACATTGTGTTCTGAAAGGCATAACATTCTGCTCTGCAAGAAAGAAAAAAAATGCATTGGAAGAAAAAAAAAAAAAAGAAGTTAACTTATTAACCAAAGCAATGTGCACGGGAAGAAATATTTCTATGCTCTGAAAGGCATAACATTGTGCTCTGGAATGAATAACAATGTGCTCCCCAAAAAGAGAAACAATGCTATGAAAGACAAAAAATTAAAAAAATTCACTTACACAAAATTACCATAATGCCACCGTGTTTTTTTAATTGCTTAATTTTGAACGTCGATTTTGACTGAATCAATGGATAATATTAAACCATATTTTTCACCTTAGGCTTCTTTTTCACTTGATCCGTTATATATATATATATATATATATATATATATATATATATATATATATATATATATATATATATATATATATATATATATAATCACACTCACATGTGAATGCTTCGCCAAGGTGCGAAATAGGAATGGATTATGTCCGTCCACGTGTCTAGATCTAATGAATGAGAAACACTGTTTTTTTTTTAAAACGCAGTGGCATTTTCGTAAATAATTGAACATTGAAGTGCAAGTAAAATGCATTACAAGTGCATGTAAAATGTATTATAGGTGCAAGTAAAAATTTACACTGAGCATCAATACTAGTTGCACCTATAGTTCTAAGTAGTTGCACATATAATTATAAGTAGTTGCACAGATAGTTATAAGTAGTTGCACCTAGGTGCATGAATGTTTGTGGGTGGTTTTCACGGGTATTACTACCCGCTGAACTCAGATCAATGAGTAGGTGCACCCAGATCAATGAGTAGGGCAAAATTACATGCACTTATAGGTGAAAGTAGGTGCACCTATCGTTATACATAGTTGCACCTATAGTTATAAATAGTTGCACCAATAGTTATAAGTAGGTGCACCCAGGTGCATAATGTTTGCGGGAAGTGAATGTTAACAAGCCAAAATTACATGCACTTATAGGTGAAAGTAGGTGCACTTGTAAGTGATTTTACTTGCACTTCGATGCTCAATTATTTACGAAAATGCCACCGTATTTTTTTTAATCTATTAGATCTGGACATGTGTCGCGCGCGAATTCGTTCGCATAATCCCTCCCAGATACTTATTCGCACCCGAGTGCATCCCTATATATATAGTCAAAGTTGCTTTTTTATAAGAAAATGTTTCAGATTCAAGTCTTAATTATGAGTTGATATAATTATATTATGCGTTGTTGTTAGAAGCTAAGGCCAACAACACCTCCTTCGTGTCTTCTCCTTAAGGACCATCCCTTCTCTGTGGCACCACTCATGAAAGTTTCATATACCATATTTACGGGCCCATGGCTCTGTGTCAATGAGTGGTTCCACAACGATGATCCTACGCCGTTCCAAACGGCTCATGGGACAACATTCTGGGAATATGCAACCCAGGATCCGAAGCTCAACCGTTACTTTAACCAAGCCATGGCCTCTGATACCCTAATGTTGATGAGTTTGATCAAGAAGCATTGTAGGGGAGTTTTTGAGGGGTTGGATTCCCTAGTAGATGTCGGAGGTGGCACCGGGATGGCGGCCAGAGCCATTGCCGATGAGTTTCCGGATATGAAGTGTACTGTTTTGGATCTTCTGCATGTGGTTGCCGGCTTGGAAGGGACCAACAATTTGACCTATCTTGCTGGAAACATGCTCGATGCCATACCTCCTGCTCATGCAGTTTTACTAAAGGTACATTAACACTGCACATTAAAGAATGAATTAATTTGCAGGTCCAATTTAATTTTGTTAATTATACTACTCTTTTTAATTCAATTCATTCAATATAATTGTTGAATGATCTGATACGATAATTTAAAGCAGTGGATAATGCACGATTGGAATGATGATGATTGTGTTAAGATACTGAAGAAATGTAAAGAAGCAATTTTCAAGAGAGAAAATTATGGAGGAAAGGTGATAATTGTTGATGTGATTTTAGGCACCACCCGAAATGGGGATGATGAGTCAATGCAAAACCAACTTTTCATGGATTATCTGATGATGGTTTATTATGGCGGACAAGAGAGAACATTAAAAGAATGGGTGAAGATTTTCAATAATGCTGGCTTTACCAATTATATAACAACTCAACTGGGATCAAGGTCTCTTATTCAACTCTTTCTGTAGTTCACAACTAGCTTATCTCAGGCTGTATATTGGGATTAAGGTCTTCAGTTCATTGGGAGATCAGATTGTTAACTTTGTTAAATGTAGTGTGATTTGATAAATAATGCGATGATTTCAACAACATTGTGGAATAAAATTGTGTGATTGATGAGTTCCGTTGTTAAATAGCGATAGCTTTCAACTCCGTTGCTGCATATATTAGCGACTAATTAATATCAATTTCCATAGATACTTTGTTTGTTTGGTAAATGGCGGTTAGCCGCTGATTAGGTTAATTCGGGGGTATAATTATTGTAAAAAGTGTTTGGTAAATTAGCTATTAGTTGGTATAATTTTTTTTTTTTTAAGTTACTTGAAAAAGTTGTTTTGAATAGTTTTTTAAATTTTAACATGTTGGAGTTGATTTTAAATCAAATTAAAGTATCAAACAATTATAATAGGCTAATAGTTTACCAAATAGGGGCATGGTTAAAAGAAATGTCTAGGCAAAGGTCAAATATTTTAGCAAGGGACAAATTGGCCGCTATTTTGTATATACATTTTTACCTGAAGTGTCAAAGTGGGTTAGCGGGGTGAGCTGTAAAACCTCTCACTTTGCGGGCATAGAAAAGGCCAGCCCGTATGCTAAAATCTTTAAAACAATAATTAAGTTTAACTTAAAAAATTTTAACACTAATAATTTAGACAATTTTAACAAATATTAATATAATTTGTTAAATAAGTACTAATAAGTTCAAATAAATAAATAAATCATACAAAATTAATACAAAATTTTAAAATCTTCAAACAATTTAATAGTTAATATGGATAATGTTGGTTTTATGACTACAGATCGAGTAGTCAGTCGGAAGGTCAACATAGTCCGTCGGATAATGAAAGAAAATATAAATAAGTGAAAAAATAAATAGAGACACAATATTTTTTGCATTGAAATCGAAAGTTAAAATTACGGGCCTTTTTTGATGATGTATTTCAAGCCAAAATTTAGTATCTTTGTATGTAGTTTTGTACATGTAGAATATACCAAATGCAAATATTTTATTATTATTTTTTTTCAAAAAAAAAATTCACATGAACAACACAGCATATAGTCTAAAAATTTTAAAATAATAAAAAAAAAATTGGCTCATTTTAATTACAAATCTGCCACGTGTAAGTTACGCGTCTGATTTTGTCACAAGAGACGCATAGTGTTCTATTTTTATGATATTTTGTACTTGTGAGGATGAGTTTATAAATTATTTGTGCTTGTATTTTGTTAATGGTTGTTGTATGATCAAAGGAATATTAGGGTGAATTTGCCGTTCTCAAATGATTGGTGATAGATGCATGCTTATGTGTTCTCAAGCACAAAGTACTATTAATTCCATGAAAATCTAGCCCTAACAAAGATTGATTATAACAAGCAACAAGTAAAAGAAGTAATGATTAAGATGAATAACAAGAATGAAAGTCAATTTGCTTGATGACGGATGTCGTTACGTGATAGGAAGCCTTTCTAAAGGTCATTCCACACTCTTAAAACACACAAGGACATTCTCATGACTCATGAATGTCTAAGCGATATTTCATCAAATACCTTGGTATTGACATTTCATACTCCCTTTTTCGCAAAGGTAAATTATGGTCAATCAATTCCTTGAGTCTGGCCTAAATTAGGTAATTACCTTCTAACTGAAACTCAATCATGTTAGTTAATATCATTAAAGCCAAGTCTCATCGCTCCTAATCAACCAATTCAAAGTCACATATCCATGAACCTCATAAGTCATATGGTTATTTAATTTAACCCAAAAAGAAAACATCTTGAATCCTTAATATTAAAGCACAGAATTAATGAAGTTGACTATTTATTTGACATATTACATATACCGTACCAATAAATTAAAGCTGGAAGTCAAATTAAAATACATTTACTTCAGGGTAATAGATATGGATAATATTTTAGATAAGAATTACCAATCCAATTTCACTTTTTTATTGTCTCAAATATATATAGCCTGTGATAGGGGAGACTATATATATATATATATATATATATATATATATATATATATATATATAGATTTAAGGAAAAAGTTGAATGAGAGACCTTGTTCCAATTTGGGTTGTTTTATAGTCAGTAAACCCAGCTTCATAGAAGATTTTTACCCATTCTTTTAATGTTCTCTCTTGTCCACCATGATAAACCATCATATGCAAATCCAAGTAAATTTGGTTTTGTATTGACTCTTCATCTCCGTTTTGGGTGGCATCCAGAATCATATCAACAATTATCACCTTTCCTCCATTTTCTCTACGGGAAATTGCTTCTTTACATTTCTTCAGTATTTTAACGCAATCCTCGTCATTCCAGTCGTGCATTATCCACTAATTTAATTTAATTGTAGTTTCAGATCATACAAGAATTTAATGAATTATTAAATATAAAATGTGTATTAAAATTGTACTATACCTTAAGAAAAACTGCCTGTGCAGGAGGTATGGCCTGGAACATGTTTCCGGCAACATAGGCCAAATTCTTAGTCCCTTCCAAGCCGGCAACAACGTGTGGAAGATCCAACACAGTACATTTCATGTTGGGGAACTCATCGGCAATGGCTCTGGCCACCATCCCGGTGCCACCGCCGACATCTACTAGTGAATCCAGCCCTTCAAAAACTCCCCTACAATACTTCCTGATTAAAGTCATGAAAAGGAGGGCGTCACCCGCCATGGCTTGGTTAGTGTAATGGTTAATCTCCGAATCCTGGCTTGCCAAGTCCCAAAATGTTCTCCCGTGGGCCGTTACATGCGGTGTGGGATCATCGTTGTGGAACCATTCACTGACGCCGTGCCATGGACCTGTAAATATGGTACAGACTGCCCCTAGCACGAAAGGTGCCAGACTAAAGGGATGGTCCTTTAGGAGAAGAAAGGAGGGACGTGCGAGGGCATACCCGTTTCCATCCGTGATTTTGGCGTCAAGGAAGAAGCCAGAACGAGTCAAGACGCGCATGAGGCGACCAAGGTGATGGGCTTTTGCCTTGTTGATATGGAGGGCGTCGACCAATTGTTGGAGCGTGATGGGTCGGCCATGGCTGTGAATGATGTCTGGTATGCCTAGCTCAACTGCACATTTTAGAGAAGCTGAGTTTATGAAGTGGAAAATTTGGTTCCATATGTGAGTTTGGTCAAGAAGAATCTCATCCATCTCCTGCAAATCCTGCAATAATGCCATTATCCCTTCACTTTGCACTATACTTTTGGTACAGGCATTATCAAATCTCAATTATATATGTGTGTGTGTGGAGTACTTGACTGAACTAGTACTGTACTTCACTGAAGTGCTGAACCATTATTTGTGTTAATTTATGGATTAATTAATTAGTACCATATCTCATCTATCTCCTGCAATAATGCCATCATATCCCTTCACTTTGTTCTATACTTTTGGTACAGGCATTATCAAATCTCAAATTCTCAATTATATATGTGTGTGTGTACTTCACTGAACCATTATTTGTGTTAATTTATGGATTAATTAATTACAACCATATCTTTGGCTGATCTTTATTGGGTTAATGTAAGCCAATCATATGTTTTTATTCATCAACGTAACAAGGTATAGGTAGATTGAGTATCAGAGTATGTAATATATTTTAATTACTTATTTATTTTGAAAAAAAAAACACAATATATTCTTTTGTATTCCACTCATATCTTTTGCCTCGATTTGTTGGGTTAATGGTACGTCACTTTTTTTTTTTTTTTTTTTACAATATTATGAATGAGGAATTGACAAGAGCACGTCCCCTCCAAGATATATAGCCCATGTTTTCGGTCATTTTAGGTAATAAAACTATTCTAAGTTATTCTTCCAAAATGTTGAACCCCAACCCGACAGTGTATTTGGGATGATGTAAATCATGGTAATAACTCAACTGAACATGAACCACAGAGGCTAGACCTTTACTCACTACGCACAAGGAACTCCCTTCACTTTGAGAGGTTGCTCCCACACTCTCGCTAGTGAGACTCGATCCTTGGTCATTCTTCCAAACTATACATTTAAGGGAGTGATTTTATTGCCATTCTAAATTATTATTCTTGTTGTTCGACGCTGCTTCATTCCTGCTGTGCGAGAACGAAACTGCTAACACGCCATACTTCTTGCTGCTGTGCGAAATTGAGGCTGCCACATTTATTGGTGTTGTTGCTGTGCGAAATTGAAGCTATTAATAATTATTGTTGCTGTTGTTCAAAGCTAGCTGCTACGCATTTCAACCCATTAATAATTATTGTTGTTGTTGTTCAAAGCTAGCTGCTACGCATTTCAACATTGTTCGAATCATTGTTATTTGTCCAGGTTGGTTCGCACACGCAAACAACGCTCAACAAATATATATATATATATTTATATATATACGAAAGGGATCAGGTGCATTTGATGCTTCCCGTGCGATTGTGCGGGTGGACGCACGTTAAGCATTAATCTGACGCACTTAAAGTACACAACACACACATTAAACACACAAATAAAACACCTCCAGAACACAACCTCACGCATGTTAAGTACAAAAACACACGTACCTTAAGTTTTTAAAACAACTCACATTAAGTACACGCTCGCGCACATTAAGTTCAAAACTGACGTACTTTAAGCACACGACTCACGCACATTAAGCACAAACTCACACACACTAAGCATAAAATTCATGCATTTTAAAGTTTCAACAACAACTCACATTAAGTACACACTCACGCACATTAAGCACAAAATTAAACTCACGCACATTACGCACAAGACTCACGCACATTAAATACAAAACTCACGCACATTAAACATTACACACTCATGCACATTAAGCACAAATCTCACGCACATTAAGCACAAAACTCACGCTCATTATGCACAAAACTCACGCACATTAAGTACAAAACTCACGCACATTAATCACCCGCACAACCGCACGGGAAATACTTAAATGCACCTGATGAACTTGAACACACACACACACACACACATATATATATATATATATATATATATATATATATATATATATTATAGTATTATAAGAAAATGTTTCAGATTTGAGTCTCAATTATGTGTTGATATAATTATATTATGAGTTGTTGCTAGAAGCTAAGGCTGCCAACGGGCCAACAAGTCCAAAATTATGTTTGGATTGATTAAAAAAAAATACATGTATTTTCACTTCTTATTCTAATTTTATTAATTCTTATAAATTTGTGATATAAACACTTTTCTGGGATTCACATAATTAAAATAACCTATCACTGTTTGTCATATAATAGAGTAAAAGTGAGAGAATAAAATTTGAGAATACATGTGGTAACTCAATAAAAAAAGGTGAGTCAGGGTATTTGTTTTTTTTTTTTTCCTTCATTTAATAAAAATTAAATATTTAATTTATGTTATACTTAATGGAGTACACCTACCATTTTCTTCTTCCACATGTTTTAGCTTAACTTATATAAAGTGATGACTTACTGGTTCCTGCATATCTCCTTCAATTCATTCATTTTATAATTGCTTCTCCTTCTTCACACATTATATTTCTGTGAGCTGCTTTAACTAGCTAGGGGTGGAATTGCAGGAGAATGAGATCCTTGGCGCCCAAACTCACTTATTGAACCACAGTTTGAACTTCATAAACTCTGTCTCTCTCATATGTGCAGTTGATCTAGGCATAGCAGACATCATTCACAGACACGGTCGACCCATCACGCTTCAACAATTGGTCGACGCCCTCCGTATCAACAAGGCAAAAGCCGACCACCTTGGTCGCCTCATGCGCCACTTGACTCGTTCCGGCTTCTTTCTTCACGACAAAGATGACGGAGATAATGGCGGGGCCGGCGGCAGGTATGCCCTCGCACCTCCTTCGTGTCTTCTCCTTAAGGACCATCCCTTCTCTGCGGCACCTCTCATGAAAGTTTCATATACCATATTTACGGGCCCATGGCTCCGTGTCAGTGAGTGGTTCCACAACGATGATCCTACGCCGTTCCAAACGGCTCATGGGACAACATTTTGGGAATATGCAACCCAGGATCCGGAGCTCAACCGTTACTTTAACCAAGCCATGGCCTCTGATACCTTACTTTTTATGAGTTTGATCAGAAAGCATTGTAGGGGAGTTTTTGAGGGGTTGGATTCCCTAGTAGATGTCGGAGGTGGCACCGGGATGTCGGCCAGAGCCATTGCCGATGAGTTTCCGGGTATGAAGTGTACTGTTTTGGATCTTCCGCACGTGGTTGCAGGCTTGGAAGGGACCAACAATTTGACCTATCTTGCTGGAAACATGTTCGAGGCCATACCTCCTGCTCATGCAGTTTTACTAAAGGTACATTATATATTAAAGAATGAATTAATTTGCAGGTCCAATTTAATTTTATTAATTATACTACTCTTTTTAATTCAATTCATTAAATATAATTGTTGAATGATCTAATACGATAATTTAAAGCAGTCGATAATGCACGATTGGAATGATGAGGATTGCGTTAAAATATTGAAGAAATGTAAAGAAGCAATTTCCAAGAGAGAAAATGGAGGAAAGGTGATAATTGTTGATGTGATTTTAGGCGCCACCCAAAATGGGGATGATGAGTCAATGCAAAACCAACTTTTTATGGATTATCTGATGATGGTTTATTATGGCGGACAAGAGAGAATATTAAAAGATTGGGTGAAGATTTTCAATGATGCTGGCTTTACCAATTATATAACAACTCAACTGGGATCAAGGTCTCTTATTCAACTCTTTCTGTAGTTCACAACTAGCCTATCTCAGGCTGTATATTGGGATTAAGGTCTTCAGTTCCTTGGGAGATCAGATTGTTAGCTTTGTTAAATGTAGTGTGATTGATAAATAATGCGATGATTTCAACAAAATTGTGTGATTGATGAGTTCCGTTGTTAAATAGCGATAGCTTTCAACCCCGTTGCTGCATATATTAGCGACTAATTAATATCAATTTTAAAACTAATAATTGTATACTAAAATAATTTACACAATTTTAACAAACATTAATATAATGTGTAGTTATGCAATTCTGGATTTATAGTTATGCAAATATGGATTTATAATTATGTAATTCTGGATGTATAGTAGTTATGAAATTATGAATGTGTAGTTATGCAATTCTGATTTTTTTTTTTTTAAAGTTAGACGTCAAAACGACGTCGTTTTTGCATCCGTATGCACCATGCACGGTGCGTACGGATACACAACATAACGATTGATGACTCTAGGGTAGTCAGTCGGAAGGTCAACATAGCCGATCGGATAATGAAATAAGATATATTAAGTGAAAAAAAAAATAGAAACACCATATTTTTTGCATTGAAATTTAATGTTAAAATCACGGGTCTTTTTCGATGATGTCAATCCAAAATCTAGTATCTTTGTAGGTAGCTTTGTACATGTACCAAACGCAAATATTTTATTAATTTTTTTTTTCAAAAAAAGTCACATGAACAACAAACGCATATAGTCTAAAAATTTTAAAATAGTAAAAAACAAAAATTTGGATCATTTTAATTACAAATCTGCCATGCGTCACCTTACGCGTCTGATTTTGTCACAAGAGACGCATAATTTTGTACTAGTGTGAGTTTATAAATTATTTGTGCTTGTATTTAATTAATGGTTGGCCTGGTGTATGATTGAAGGAATATTAGGGTGAATTTGACGTTCTCAAATGATTGGCGATAGATGCATGCTTATGTGTTCTCAAGCACAAAGTACTATCAATTCCATGAAAATCTAGCCTTAACAAAGATTGATTATAACAAGCAACAAGTAAAAAAAATAATGAATAAGATGAATAACAAGAATATAAAAGATAGAGGAGAATAGGAAATTGAATTATGTCAAGTTAATGTGACCAAACTGGGAACAAGAGTGAGGCGAGAGTCAATTTGCTTGATGACGGATGTCGTTACCCGGGAGGAAGTCTTTCTCAAGATCATTCCTTACTCTTAAAACACACAAATACATTCTCATGAGTCATGACTCATGAATGTCTAAGCGATATTTCATCAAATACTTTGGTGTTGATATTCCATACTCCCTTTTTCGCAAAGGTGAATTATGGTTAATCAACCTTGGCCCTTAGCCTAGATTAGGTATTACTTTCTAATTGAAACTTAGTCATGCATTTTAATTAATATCATCAAAGCCAAGTCTCATCACTCCTAATCAACCAATTCAAAGTCACATCTCCATGAAC